AGCCTCTCAGACCGGGAAATTGGCTTTGGCCGAAATCCCCTTGTGTTCGAGCCAGCAGAACGAAGCCACATCTAGTTTGTGTACAGTTTGTTTGTTCTCCAATTGAAAAGTGATGTTTTTCAGGTCTCACGGTCATGCAATGAGAATCGCGTGTGCGAAAAACAAGAAGAGCATTTGAGCATTTCATCGCCAGCAAGAGAGCCTGGGGTGCAGCGTTGGACTTACATTGTGGAAATTATGTTCTTACTTTGTAATTCGATCCGCAGTTGACTGCACAGCGGTTTGTGGGGCGGTCTGGGAATGGCAAAGGCCAAACAGCCAAGACAGCCAAGAAAGCCGTGCACCAGTTCCTGGCGACTGCAACGGCGCGAGAAGGCAAGGTGTCATTTGGATTAGATCAGTTTCGAAAATAAGCTACTGTACAATGTCAGAACTTTGACTGCTCCGTAGGCCAAAGAGCTTAATGAAGAGAAAATAAAAACGGCGACGGTGTACACGCCACCCGAGATTGTGGAAATTATACTCAGACTCAAGCAAGTTGACGGGTGGCTAGCGCGGCGTGCATGGTTCGCTTACATGTACGCAGCTCGCGTGAACGAGATTCTTATGAGCCAACCAGAACACTTCGATGAAGATGATGAGTCCAAGACTTCATTCTATCGAATGGAAAGATCATCTTGACGCACGATCTGCCCATGGATATGATTCAGAAGTTTGCAGGGCATACAAACATTGATGGCTTGGCGCGTCGTCAAGAAGCCCTATTCGGAGAGCAGCAAACGGGCCGGTCGATTCTGGAAGGTTTACCTTAGCCCGTCCGGAGATCATCACACAACCCTGACGGGTGCTGTGAACGCGGGCTTCCATGTGGATGAGTTGCATAGGGAGGGGCCAACTCGCACTGAGAGGCGATGTGAGCGACAACATTCACCAGCTGCTCAGCCATCAGAGCCGCCGCAGGCCACCGGGGTGGTGGACGGGAGACGCATCAAAACAAAAAAATGCATCAATAAATAAACAAAAATGCATCAAAACCAATAAAAATGCAGCAAAAAAGAAACGAGCAAAGGAAGGAAGGAAGGAAGGAAGGAACGAGGCAAGAAAGGAAGAGGAAGCAAGGAAGGAAGGAAGGAAGGGCTAGCGGGAGGAAGGAAGGTAGGTAGGCAGGTAGGTAGAAACGAAGCAAGGAAGCAAAAGTGACCGTTCTCTCCCGTCCTGAACCTATCACTGCAGACTGTCAGGATGCTTTGACTCATCCATCAACGCCGCAGGCCATTGCAGACGGGGCAGACCAGGACCCGCCCCGGAATCAGCACCAGTTCTTCCGGGACCACAGAGGAAGACCACGCCAACAACCAGCGCAGGCCACAGAAAGGGCAGAGCAGGATCGGCCGAAGTTCTTCAAGGTGTGCCATAAAAGAAACAAATCAGATGAATTGTGGTCACGCCGATTTGAGCCTGTTGTGTCAGGAAAAAGAAAGGGCTGGACACAAGTGAGGTGTTTACATCTCGCCGAGACGCTTTTACAATCTTAAAGAGACTTCGACTGCGCAGGCTCGCTGAATCTGGGTGTCCGTGGCGGGTGCTTCAGGCGACTACGCTCTCGTTGTGGTGCCGCGCGCATTTCGGAACATGGTGGTCACTTTTCGTGGCAGGCGCAAGGGAAACCTCGTGTTTTGGTGCTCCAAAGCCGACTTTTCGTGACAGGTGCAAGGGATCGGAGTTGCTTTATACTTCGAAACGCAGTTTTCGCTGCAGGTGCAGCACTTTATTTGTTGTGATCGTCGATCAGCTCAGATTTCTGACAGGTGCAGTGAATCGTGACTTTTGGACATGTGGTTCGTTTGCAGATTTCGTGGCAGGCGCAGTAATTGGTGAACCTCGAAGTGCAGATTTCGTGGCAGGTGCAGCACTTGGTGAACCTCGAAGTGCAGATTTCGTGGCAGGTGCAGCACTTGGTGAACCTCGAAGTGCAGATTTCGTGGCAGGCACAGCACTCTGCGACCCTCGATGTGCAGATTTCGTAGCAGCTGGCCCAGGTGTGACTGCCCCACCTGCCCCAATCTCTTTCCCAAGAGTTGTTCCAGTGCCAATCCCTTTCCCAAGGGTCCCCACCATCATCTCCATCATTTCCTCCTCCATCTCCACAACCTCCTTGAGGCTGCTTGTTCTGCCGAGCCAGCCTTCTGGCCTGGGAAGTGGTCCCAGACCCCTTCTTCCTCCCTGCCTTGTTCCTGTTCTCACCTTTTGCAAGGTGTTGCCTCTGCAGTTTCCACATCCATGCAGGGCTGTACTTGTCCAGTGGCTTGTTGGGCCACCACTTCTCTTCAGCATCATCCATGCCAAAGCTGATGTGGTTCATCCCTTTCACAAGGGGCTGTAGATGCCCCCTTTTGTCAAGGGTATGACAACACACAGTCTCTAAAATGTTTGAGTTCACAAAAGGGCTGCAGCAGGAACATGCCTTCTCATGTTTCCAAAAACAATTGACCACAACACATACCAACACACCTACACATTCAGTAACAACCTACACATACCCATACCCAACATAAAACAGGAACAACCTACACATACCCCAACAGAACACATAAACAAAACCATTTACAAAGGTTATTGCTTTACAGAAATACCCTCACACCCACCCACCTTCCCCACACAGGCAGCACATGTTTTTGACACATGCAAGTGTCTCAGTATGTTCTGTACAAAAACCTTTCCCAAAGGTTGCTTCTCATTTTTCACAGTCCTTTTCTCAAAGGTTCTTTATTCCAATTTGTCTTACACACCCTTTCCCAAAGGTGAACCCCTTCTCAAAGGTTTGAAGACATGGCTTGCTGAAAGCCAAAAAGGCTGCAAAAGTTGTTGTTGGGTTTTGCTGGTGCCAACATTGGAAACTTATACTTATACCTCAACCTGGGGGATGGCTGCCCAAACCCAAATAGATACAGGTATTCCCAAACCATAGTTTGGGGGCACCCACCGACCCACCCCACAGTAGAACAAAGCCAGCTTTTTTTCAACACAAAACATTGGTCTGCAGGGCTGCTGGTGAGCCTGGAAGAACTTCCCTTGTGAAAGGGTTGGTGTGAAGAACCCACTTGCTCCTTTTTACAAAGGTGCCTTGACTTCTCTGCAGGTGTCATGCTTTGCTGAAGCTCTTGTGCTGCCTCCTCTTCATCTTCTGCTGTGTTTGAGATCTGTTGTACTCTCTCAGCTAAAGTCAGCTGGCCCAACTTTCTCAAGTTGTTGGGTTTCAGAATTGATTTCATCGGCTTGGTTCCCTTTCCCAAAGGTTTTTTGGTTGAACCCTTTCCCAAAGGTTTTACCACTTTCCTCTTTGCAGAGGTTGCCTTCATGACCTTCATAGCCTTCCCCATGGCTTTGACAGATCTGAGCCAAAAGGCTGTAGGTTGTGATTTGAAGTGATGATTTACTGCTTTCTTAGAAAATAGAAATCTGATGAAATCTGATGAAATCTGATGAAATCATGGTTTTCATCAGATTTCATCAGATTTCTATTTTCTAAACAAGAAACAAAATACCCCTCAAATCCCTTGAAACCTTTACCAAAGGGTGCCTTTGATGTGGGCATACCCTTTTCCAAAGGTGTCTTTCATTGCTATTAAACCTATTTAGATTCCAAATATGTGAGCAAATATGTGTTTATATATATATAGATAGATATAGTATTATATCTATAGTTTTTATTTCTTTGGTTTTGTTTGGCCTGTCTTAGGCATTGGGTCTCTGTGCCATGGTGCTGCCACTGCTTTTAGAAAACAACAAATTATGATTGAATCAAAAAGGTTCAGTGTTTCTTTTGGTCAGTATTTCTTTTGGTTCAGTGGCAGCACCTTGTGGCCAAGAACATGCAAACCCTTTCTCAAAGGTTTCTCACATGCCTTTTGAATTACTGTACACCTTTTCTCAAAGGTTACACCCTTTCTCAAAGGTTACACCCTTTCTCAAAGGTTTTGTTCTTTTCAACACCCTTTCTCAAAGGT